TTTTTTTATTAAGTTTTTAATTTTAATTCCAGTATAGTAATGTACAGTGTTATATTAGTTTCATGTGTACATTTTAGTGATTCAGCAATTCTATGCATTGTACTCAGTGCTCATCATGATAAGTGTACTCTTAATCCCTTTACCTGTTTCACCCATTCCCTCCCCATGCTTCTCCCCTCTGGTAACCCTCTCTCTGTTCTCTGGAGTGAAGAGTGTGTTTCTTGATTGTCTTTTCTTTTTTTTCCTTTGTATGTTTGTTTTGTTTCTTAAATTGCACATATGAGTGAAATCATATGGTATTTGTCTTTCTCTGACTTATTTAGCTTAGCATTATACTCTCTAGCTCCATCCATGTTGTTGCCAATGGCAAGATTTCATTCATACCACTTTGAAGATTCTAGATTGGCCGGCAGGATTACAACCTGATTCACTTACTAGGAAGACATTGCTCTAGTATCATATTGACTCCACTAAAAATATACAGCACTTCTGAGGTTTATGTTGTGATTAAATAAAATATGTAGGGGTGACTGGATGGCTCAGTTGGTGAAGCACCCCACTCTTGGTTTCTGCTCAGGTCATGATCTCAGGGTCATGAGTTAGAGCCCTGCATTGGGCTCCACACTCAACGTGGAGTCTACTTGAGATTCTCTCCCTTTCCCTCTGCCCCTCCCCTCCTGCTCTCTCTCTCTCTCTCAAATTAAATAAATAAATTAATTAATTAATAAAATATTTAAAAATATTTGGCAAATATTTTGAATTATGCATGGATGTATAGGTTTAGTGCTCAATAAAATATTAAGGGTAAATTTTACATCATTCAAAGTACGCAAAATAATGAAAGTTTTCCTGTCCCATTTTTCTTTTTCTGTAGCTGTAGCTACTTCTGGAGTGCAGATTTTCACTGCCTCAGACTTGGCCACATTTTTCATGAGCTGGCAAATTAAAGTCCTTTTGTTTCTAACTCCATCAATAGAAATTGTATTAGAAAATTCCCGATTATCTTTTACTTCTCCTTTCTTCGACTTTCATATTTACTTTTTCTGAATTTAAACCATCTATTCTGAAAATATAACCAAGAAGTAACTAGATTGGGATTTTAAATCCAGAAGGTGAGTGTATCTGTTTATACGGTTTGGCCAACACAGTGTTTAAAAAAACGTTGACTATATCAAGGGCAGGGTATGTATACTCCAGTTCTGTCTCCATACTTATATTTCATCTGGTCCTGAAATCTTTGTGGTGCATCACATGAGCTGCTGCAACTAGCCTCATTTCAAACAATGATGGTATCATAGTCATTAAATATTCAATTCAAATTTTACTCTTAACTGCCAAGGAATGTGGGGAGGCTAATCTCTGTAACCAAGTGATTTGCTACTTAAAATAAGCATAGGATACAGATGGGAATAAAAGTAAGGTTTAATTTATTTTTTTCCTATTTTGGGAAAATATATTATTTTGTAGTTGTGCAATAGCTCCTTTTATAAGAAGCAAAAACAATTATAAAACAATGCCTGTACATGATAAGAATATGAAAAAATACAAAAAAGAGCAAAAATTGCCTTCATAACACATTAAAACCATTCCCTCTAGAGTTTACAACAGGTACAATTCTTGTATATCTTTACAGAAATATACAGATAAATATGTATATATGTATATAAATTATTTTAAAAACACACAGTATATTATGCATACTTGTATGTACCTCTCCTTGTCTTACTTAACAGTGTCTTGCAGATCATTCCTTAGCAGTACAAATAGATCTAGCTTGTTTCCATTACACTGTTTCAAACAGTCTGTTACATGACTATACCTTGACATAGATCTTTCTTGAGTCTATAGGATTCTGCTTACTCTCTCTTAACATTGGAATCCTCCTTGTCCTCCCTGTTCTCCTCATCCTCCAATATGTCATTTACAACCTCACAATTTTATTACCTCACTGTGACAATAAGTGAAAAGTGAGTTATTTTTATTTATTTTTATTGTCAGTTTTATCAAAGTAATACACAGGTTATGTTAAAAGAAATTTATTTTGCCCAAGGGAATGAGTACAAGATATTTTGCTTACTGTGTATTTTGTGTATCCATGTGTACACTCACACACACACACACACACACACACGCTAAAGACAGGGAGATTGTAAATACAGCACAGTGGAATGTTTTAAAGATGCTTTCCAGAACAAGGCTTTGATAATCTGGGGTAAATTAAGGGAGGCAGGTAGCTATTACCCTCAGAGTTAGAGGACAGTGCTCAGTTTCCACAGAGGAACACGCATGTGGTTTATGGTGCCTGGAGGATGTGGACAATGGAGGGAAAATGCAGGATCTTAACAGAGATGTTGGTAGCTGCAGCCTTCAGTAGTCATCACTGCCAGGAAAACACCAGCTTTGCAGTGAGGAGTGTTGACACACAAACATGGTCATTTTAGGGACATTTAATATCAGGTAAGGCAGGGTTTTTAAAACTTCTACTCTAGCCAAAAATTAAAAGTTGCATTAAAGCAGATTTTTATCCTGAGAAAAATCACTCGGATGGATCATTTTTGTTGTTCAGACTGAAGAGTAAGAAAAATTACTTTGCTGGAAGGAAAAGAGAAAGGATGTTCTGTGCCTTAGACTTCTATAGAGTTTGGGAGACTAAATGAACCAATTTGAAATCTTTGCTTATTCCAGGGACATGATAGTTTCCTGTGTGTTCTTCTAGAACTTTTATAGTTGAAGCTTTCAGTATAGGTGATGATCCATTTTGAATTGATATATTTATGCATAGTGTGTAGTAGTGCTCAGTTTAAGTCTTCTGCCTTGAGAGGTGAGTTATGACTCTCAGTGGAAGGGAAAAATGTAGGTGGCCCATAGGTAAGTAGGGGGAACCATGTGTTCTAATTTGCTTGGAACCGTCTTGGCCTGCAATTTGAGCAATGTATCAACAATATCCACTTTACTCTCTAATATACTGCCATTTGACACTAGGTGTCAACACTACCCAAGAGGGACCTTTGACAGAAAGAGATGTGGAGCTGCTGAATGGCATTTAGATTAAATAGTAGGATGGGTTTAATAAGAATCATCTGAAACACAAATTTCCTCCTTTTTATTTTCTGTTATCTTCTATGTCTACTCCATACCACCACCTATCAATTCTCATTTTTAATGGGGTTAAATGGTAACATTAGCATAGTGTTGTCATACCATTGTCAACATCAAAATAAAAAAACAATTGAATCAGTAGAATGGGAATCTATTACTAGTAGCATTTTTTGGTGTACTTTTTGTTTGTTAACACAAATAGACTTTGATTTTTCTGTTCCCTGAATGTGACTATCCCCAATTAAAAAGAAACAGTAGTTTAAGCAAATAGACCTCCTACCTAATAAGTCAAGTAATATTGTGAATTGTAGTGTTTAGTTCGTCATGATAGAAAGCTGGAATCAAAATCTTACTGTAGATACACTCACTCCTGGATTAAAAATGATCAAACTATAACCTAGGGATGTCTGTGTAACTTTGGAAAAGATCCTGAATCAATTTAAATTTTTGTGCAATGGAGCTAAAAATAGCTGATGACTTATAAGTAGTTCTAATGATTGTTGGGGATATTAGTGATGTAAAATGTCTACCAGTATGTGATTTAACTATTTACTTATATTTGGTATAATTAATGATATGATAGGATTTACCTCTGCCATTTTGATTTTGTTTTGTATAAAGTTTGTATATTTTTTGGTTTCTCTATTCCCCTAATTCTGCCTTCTTTTGTGTTAAATAAGTATTTTCTTCTGTACTTTTATTTCTGTTGTTTAGTTAACTATTTTGGAGTTATTATCTTAGTGATTGCCCTGGGTGTTAAAATTAATATCCTGGGGCACCTGGGTGGCTCAGTCATTAAGCGTTTGCCTTCGGCTCAGGTCATGATCCCAGGGTCCTGGGATTGAGCCCCGCATCGGGCTCCCTGCTCAGCGGGAAGCCCGCCTCTCCCTCTCTCACTCCCCCTGCTTGTGTTCCTTCTCTCGCTGTGTCTTTCTCTGTCAAATAAATAAATAAAATCTTAAAAAAAAATTAATATCCTAATTTAAAACCATCTAGTTTAGATAAATACCAACTTAATTTTAATAGTATATAAAAACTTTGCTCTAATATAGCTCCATTCCCTCCCCCCTCCTTTGTGCTGTTATCATACAAATTATATCTTTATAGATCATAAGCCCATGGATGCTATTTTATAATTATTACTTTATGCAGTTTTCTTTTAAAACAAATAAGAGTTATAAGAATGCATTTATATTGTCTTTTATATTTACCTATGTAGTTATTTTCATTGATGGTCTATATTTGTGTGGATTTGAGTTACTGTGTAATTTCCTTATAGTTAGTTTGAAGGACTCCCTTTGGTGTTTGTTGTAGGGCAAGCTTGCAAACAATAGATTCCCTCAGTTTCGTTTACCTGCAAATATCTTTGTTCTGTCTTCATTTTTGAAAGATAGTTTTGCTTTATATAAGACTGTTGGTTGACCTTTTTTCTCCCAGTAATTTGACTATGCCATCTCTGATGGTTAACTTTGTGTGTCAATTTGGAAGATGTTTTTGGATGAGAATAACCTTTAAATTGGTGAAATTTGAGTAAAGCATATTGCCCTTCATAATGGGCTTCATCCAATCAGTTGACATCCTGAAGAGAAGAAAAAGATCGGTCTCCTGAAGCAAGAGAAAACTTCTCCAACAGACTGCCTTCAGACTTCACCTGTACCATGAGTTCTCCTGAGTCTGGAGACTGCCAGCCACACTGTAGATTTTAGACTTCCTTGCCCCCACAACGAGTCATTTCTTATAATAAATCTGTTCACATATATATATATATATGTGAGATACACACACACACACACACACATTCTGTTCTGTTTCTCTGGATAACCCTAAGTAATACAGATTTTGGTACTGAGAGTAATGTCTCTCTTCCCAGTAGTAAAGAGTGATAGGCAATAGAGATACACAAAATATCACCATTGAATATTTTTAATCAAACATTTATAAGAAGCAAGGATATGAGTGACCATGTATATGATACTTTCAATTAGCAATAATCGCTCCTCGGATAAACCTCATTGGCTACGATACTGCCACTGCGCAAAGCTGTATATGATACTTTCAAACATTTTTGTCAAACTAGCCATTTTAATGGAATTGGGTGGATGCTACCAATATCACCACACAAAGTGGGAAGACAAAAGAATGAGCTCAGGTATTAAAATTCCCAGCTCAAGTGCTGCATAAATGACTGTAAAGTTTCTGTGTCTGCACTGAAAGATTCTCCTCTAGCCACAGGGCTGATTGCTGAAAACCAAGCCCAGAATCTTATCTTATAAGTGGCTATCTACAATGCACATTGAATTCTCACCTCACAGGACGTCTACTGTTTAATTGAGAGCATTGATTGGGAAGGAATGGGATCCTGAGATGCAGAATCAGCATGTATAGAAAGACTTTGAATGAAGCTGAGGACATTGAGCCCCTAAATTCTGAGGAATCTCTGCCAGTAGAAGCAGCCTCTCCACCCCTTCGTGAGGAGGTTAATTCTACATTCCCTGAGGAAACTATAATGGCCTCCCCTGAGGCACCTGCCATGTAAGACAGTGCTAATTCTCCTCAGGAACCAACCCCACCACCTTCTTTGCTTTTAGATCTATAACTAAATTCAATAATCAGCAGGTCCCCAAAAGGAGAAGTACAAAGTATGACTGATTTATGAGAAGGGTGACCTACACTCCAAAATAACTACTTGAGTTTTCTAATTTATATGGACAGAATTCTGGGGGATATGTGTGGGAATGGATATTAAGTATGTGGCATAATAATGGAAGGAACATAAAGTTAGATCAGGTCAAATTTATTGATATGGGCCCGGTAAGCAGAGATTCTAATTCTAAATTTAATGGTGTAGATTAGAGAATTACAAAGGGCTGGAACAGTTTGCTTGGCTTAAACAAGGGCTGAAAGATAGCCCAGAATGAATGAGCTAGAAATGCCAGATCTGCTGTGGTTCATTGTAGAAGAAGTGATTCAAAGGCTTAGGGATATTAGAGTATTAGAGTGGATTTGTCATTTAAGACTACTGACCCAACTGACAGGGTCCAGAAGACATACCTTTCACCATGACTGTGAGAAAAATTTGTAAAGGAAGCCTCAGTATCCTTGAAGAGTTCTATGATTGCTCTTTTCTGGAGGATAGACCTTACAGTGGGAACTGTGCTCGCTGAACTGGGAAACCTAAATGCAATGGGAGTAGTTGGATCCTGGGGTGATAGGGGCCAAGTGGTGGTACTCAGTGCATTGTTACAGTAATGGACAGCAGAGTCAAAGCAGCAATCAGAATAGTCTGACTCATGTAGAACTACGGGATTGGTTAGTTGATCATGGTGTTGCTAGAAATGAAATAGATAGAAAGCCTACTAAACTCTCACCTGATTTATATAAGCCAACAGTTCTAGATTGAGTGAACAGAACTCTAATCTGAATCATAAAAACAGATAGTAATGACCCCATCAATCAATTCCTAGACATAAGTCAGTTTGTATACCCAGAACCCCTTGAGTGAAGGGATGCCGGGTGTCCTTGAGAAAGGACCTTGCATACACTGCCAAAAGTTTACTTTTGGTCCTTCTCCCAGCCTTCCCCAAAGGAATTTAAGACCAGGTTAACTGTGTATTGGGAGAAAGGAAATAATCTATCAAACCTTTTGAGGGCTACTGGATACTGGCTCTGAACTGACACTAATTCCAGGAGACATAAACATCACTGTTGTTCACACAGAAGAGGGGCTTATAGAGGTCAGGTGGTCAATACAGTGTTAGTTTAGATCCATCTCTTAGTGGGCCCATGGGTCCTTGATATCCCCGGTTCTGAAATGCATAATTAGGGTAGAGATATTTGGCAGAATCTCCAGATTGGTTCACTGACCTATGGAATAAAGGTAATATGGCAGGGAAGGCCAAGTGGAATCCAATAGAACTGCCTCTGTCTAGAAAAGTAATAAACCAAAAGCAATGCCATATTCATGGAGGGATTACAGAGATTAGTGCCACCATTTGAAGGATGTGGTGATTCCTACCACATCTCTGTTTTACTTGCCTGTTTGTCCTGTGCAGAAGACAGATGGGCTTGGAGAATAACAGATTATCGTGAGATTAATCATGTGGTGACTTCAGTTGCAGCTGCTGTACCAGATGTGGTTTCATTGCTTGAGCACATTAACACTTCCCCTGATACCTGATATATAACTATTGATTTGGTAGGTGCTTTCCCCCCTCCCCTAATCCCTATTAATAAAGACCACCAGGAGCATTTAGCTATCAGCTTGCAAGACCAGTAGTATCCTTTCACTGTCCTACTTCCAGAGTATATAAACTCTCCAGACTATGTTATAATTTAGTTTGCAGAGATTTTGACAGAGCTGTAGCTCTGTAGCCCCATTCTGGAACATCCCTGAAGGACAGTGGTGAGGAGAAACCATTCCAGTGGGCAGAACTTTTAGTAGTGCACTTGGTTGTTTATTTTTCTCTGAAGATGAAATGCCCAGATGTGCAATTATATACTGATGCATGGGCTGTGGCCAATGGTTTGGCTGGATGATCAGGAACTTAGAAGAAATACAATGGAAACATTTGTGATAAGAAAGTCTGGGGAAGAGGAACATGGATAGACCACTCTGAATAGGCAAAATCATGAAGTTATTTATGTCCCATGTCAATGCCAAAGGGTGACCTCAGTAGAGGAATATTTTAATAATTAGGTGCATAGGCTGACTTCTGTGAAGACTAGTCAGGCTCTCTTTCTGCAGCCACCCCTGTCATTACTCAGTGGGCTTATGAACAAGGTGGCTACCGTGGCAAGGATGTAAGTTACACATGGGTTTATATTCACCAAGGTTGACCTAGCTATAGCTACTGCTGAGTGCTCAACCTGCCAGAGGTAGAGACCAACACTGAGTCCCCCGTGTAGGACCATTTCCCAGGGTGATCAGCCAGCTATCTGGTGATTACATTGAACCACTTTTATCACTGAAGTGGTAGTGTTTTATTCTTACTGGAATTAACACTCTAGGTACAGAATTGACTTCTCTACATGCAGTGTTTCTGCCCAGACTGCCATTCATAGACTTATAGAATGTCTTATCCACTGTCATGGTATTCTACATGCATTGCTTCTGATCAAACAACTACCTTCACAGAAAATGAAGTATAGAAATGGGCTCATGCTCTTGAATTCGCTGATCTTACCATGTTCCCCACCATCCTGAAGCAGCTGGCTTGTTAGAATTGTGGGATTGCCTTTTGAAGGCTCAGTTACATGGGGCTTGATCCCACAACACTGAGATCATGACTGGAACGGAAACCAAGAGTCAGACACCCAACTGACTGTGCCACCCAGGCACCCTAGCTCTCCTGGTCTTGAGCCTGCTGGCCCACGCTGCAGATTTTAAACACATACGCCGGCCTTCTTACAGTCTGTTGTTGTTACTGTTAGTTTTCTAGTGACCTTCCTGATAGAATTTTTGCAAAGTGTGTGTTCTTTTTTGTGTGTAGTCATTGGAGTGTATGCTTGATTGACTTAGTGATTGGCTAAAAATGAGATTTAAAAAATGCCTTGAACGTGTATGTCTCCTAGTTTTTGTTGAGGGGCTCTGTGTGTTTGGGGACATACTTTCCACATCCCAATAGGCAGTTTACAGCTTTGCCTCAGTCTTCACTTGCTTCCTGCACAGAGAGCCTCAGTGTCAGCCAGAAAGAAAGATTAGGGTTGTCTTGGGCCATTCCTGGGTATGCAAACAGTTCTGGACATGCTTTTGGAATTATAGATTCCCAGAAACTTGGGGAGCCTCATGGACGACTTATTCCCCAATTTTTCCTTTTCAGCTTTTGGTCATGTAGGCAACCAGTAATGGCAGTTGAGGTAGCTGCAGTATGAAACAATTTCTCCTGATTGTATTCATCAAGCACTCTGGTGATGTGCTCTTCAAATAGTGACAAGGTCTGAGTCAGATAAAAGAAGCCCTGACGGGGCGCCTGGGTGGCTCAGTTGGTTAAGAGACTGCCTTCAGCTCAGGTCATGATCCTGGAGTCCCGGGATCGAGTCCCACATTAGGCTCCCTGCTCAGCGGGGGGTCTGCCTCTCCTTCTGACCCTCTTCCCTCTCGTGCTCTCTGTCTCTCATTCTCTCTCAAATAAATAAATAAAATCTTTAAAAAAAAAAAAGAAGCCCTGAGAAAGAAGCTTTATAGCAGGCTACCAGGGAACTCATGTAGTGACAATTCTCTGGGAACCTAGCTTTTATGAGAACTGTGGATCCTTTTGCCTCTTCCGGTGGCTCCTTGGCTCCAGGTTTTCACAGCTACTCCAGTTGCTGGTTTCTAGGTATTTAAGTCTACATTGGAGCTGAGAAGGGGGGTGGGGGTGGGGTAAGATGAAGTCAAATTAAAATGCTATGAAACTGTTGCCTAGACAGCTATTTTTCTTGAATTAGTATTCTCTATATTGTTGGGCTCTTTTGATTTCAAGAATTCTGAAATTTTTGGTTTTGATAAATTTTGTCAGTGTTGTTGCTTTTATTGAAAGGTGGTTTTTCAGAGTTTTTTTCACCTATTCTGGAAGTCTTTCCCTTCCCCGATCAATCATTATTTCCTCTAAATATTTACTCCAGAAATGCCGTCATTCATCCTGCCCTTCACTTCCTTCCATGATATCTAACCACTAACTTTCTTTCTATTCACATTATCACTGTTTGAAGCCAATTGTCATACACACTATAAATTATCTATATATTGTTAAAAACTTTGTTTCTTAAAATACTGATTGCATTTTGTATTTCCTCACTGTAAGTGTACAATTATTTCCCTTTCCTTTCTTTTGTTTTTGTTTTTGTTTTTGTTTTGTAGTATTTCCCTTTACTTAATGATAAAACATAAAAAAAAAAAAATTAGCCTGGAATTGAAGACTAACATTTTCTGACCCTACTTATCTCTCAGATTTACTAATGATCATCTCAAGACTTTGGAAATACAGTATGAACTTGACTTCTGATTTTGAAATTAGTAAAATAACACAGTTAGTTTGGATTAATAATGTTGTATCAGTTGTGA